ACCTGGACCCAGGCTCGCTCTCCTTTAAAACAGCCAGGGAGAAAAGGGCTGGGTCCTGGCCAGCCTGCCTGGCTCCCTGCTCCTCCCACGTTTCACGTTGGCCCTGCCATCCACTGGCTGGGAAATGACATGGAGTTTGCCTCCCCCAGCACCCTCTGTCAATCTGTCATCCACCAGTCGATTTTAATCTATTTACATTTGCCTCCTGTGAACTTCTCAAGAATAAGAAATCCAACAGGCTTTTTAGAAAGGAAACCCAGGCTGGGACAGTAGTTAGCGTAATGGCTATGTCCCTGAACTCTCATGTAGCCAACCACGGTTTAAGTCCCGGACCCGGTGGCTTAAATTCATGCTGGGCGTGTGTGTGTGCATGCCCAGGATCCCGAGAGGATAATGGAGAAGGGATTGCGGCATGGCCATCCCCACTGGGGGGGTGATTTCTCGCTTTCTATATCTCTCTCTCTCTGTCTTTCTGATGAGCACACGGCCCTATAGCAAAAACCTCTCCAAAAAAGAAAGAAAGAAAACCCAGGCCAGCCTGTGGTGTGGTAGTTAAGGTAGCTGGATCCCACCATGGTGGTCGACCATGCAGTTTCAGTCCCAGAGCTGGCTCAGAAAACACGGGGCATGTGTTCATGTGTCCCAGAATACAGAAAGAAGGGAGAGATGGAGGAGACAGGATTGTGGCATGACCTTCCCCAAGGGGAAATGCTTTCTCACTTTTTCCCTTTCTTGTTCTCTCTAGTGAATGCGCATGCCCTCTGGCAAAACTTAAAGAAAATCCACAAACTCTACTACTAACAGGTAAAGGACAGTAAGACAGGAGCAGGCTCCAGGTGAGCCAGTGTCTGGGCCAAGACCAGACAATAGGGACATTCATGAGCTCTGTGACCTGGAGCAAGAGACAGGGAGCAGGGAAGGAAGAGGGGTGGGAGGAAGCTAGAATGGGAGTACTGGATACGGCTTTGCACATTTAACTATCACAGCAAGCCACTGGGGTAGTTCTTGTTATTCCTAATTAATGAGTAAAAACTACAAGCCCCGAGAATTTAAGTAACTTGCTGTAAGTCACACGGCTAGGAAAACTGGGTGGATCAAGTCACTTCTCTGGATCTCATCTCACCTTCTCTAAAGAGGAGTGTGGACTAGGAGACACTTAAGGCAAATGACCATGACACAAACTGTCCCAGCACTTTCTCTTGCTGAGTGTATTTTGAGTTAATGTGTCCTTTAGCTTTGGGACAACCCCACAAGACAGGAACTGTGCCTCCCTTTTCTGTGTTACCAGGTCATAAGTGGAAGAGCAGGTTTTGAAATCTAGGAAGGCAGGTCACGTCAGCCTCTCAGCCACCTCACTGCACCATGCCCGCCCTCATGCCAACATGTCTGCAGTCCCCTTGGTTTGACAGATGGTCGCACCCTCTCTCCACACTGAAGCCCTCATATGGGCCCAGACAGACTGGCTGTGAGGGAGACACGGGGCCAGCGAAGCCAACGGACACTCACTTCATACGTCTCAACCAAGACATCCCTGGTGACAAAGGGGTGCAGAGGGGTGGGGAATCGGACAGATTTCACGTTCCGGAAGTTATGCTGGAAGTGTTCTAGATTCCGCGCTTCATAACGCAGGTCGATCTACAGAGAAACAGAGAAAAGGCAACGGTTAGTGTGGGTGCAGGGACCGTGACATCTGAGATGCCAGAGTGCTAGCGAGTCTCGGGATGTGCCCTGCCCTCCCAGCAGCTCCCATGGGACTCCCTGGAAAACACTGTAGAGCTGAAGGCTGTCCTGAGACCCCGAGTCTCCATGTGCAGTCCTCTGAGCTGCAGACAGCAGATACCCTGTTGGATTTGGGCTGTGTGGCTCCTGGGCTGTTCCTTCCCCACACACCCATCCTTCGCTCCAGCAGGTGGGGTGAGAGCGAGATGCCAAATCTGATGTCACTGGACTTGTACAAAGGGAACTGAAGCTCAGGTAGGTGGTCACACCAACAGGTGGTTGTTGGCATAGAAGATATTTCTATTTTCATTTTCTTTTATTATCACACTGCACTACTCCTTAACATTAAAGCTTTCTGTTACTCCCACATGGCTGGCTGGGTTCAAGTCCTGGACCTGATGGATTGCTTTCTCACTTTCCCTCTCTCTGGTCAAATTTTAAAATAATAAAATTAAATAACTTTTTTAAAAAACAAGCAAGCACAACAGCAGGTGATGTACACAGTTCATCTGTAGGGCAAGGCCACTCACCTGCTGGACCATGAGCTTCTCAAATTCGTCCACGATCTCTGGCAAACTAAGCCACTTGACTCCTGGCAACAGCCCAAGGATTCGGCTGCCAAGCTTCATCAGCATCAAGTCCATATGCACCTGAGCGAGCAGGCCAGGGTGCAACACCTGCCAGAAGAGGGACAGTGAGACAGGAGGGGTCGGGAGGCCATCAGGGAAGCCACGTGCTCCTGAAAGCAAAGGGAAGTGGCCCTGACACCCAGGATGTTCCTGGATGGAGGTTCCTTCACTATCAGGGGCAGCGAACTCCAAATCCTCATTTTCCTTCTTTGGACTTTTCACATCACCACTCTCTCAAGCCAAGAACAAAGCACCTTGTACTCCAGGATCTGGGAAGCAGTAGGAAAAATGGAAGGCCATGTGGGGGTTATTTGCATGACAGGGTTCTGTTAAGAGGTGAGAGGTGAGCTGCCGACCTGGGGAGGGCCCGGCTGGTGACCTCAGTGCACTTACTTTCACTGCCACCGGGATGAGGTGGCCTGGCTGTGTGTGGTGTCCAGAGGCAGAAGCCTGAGACATGACTACATTTGATTCACTCAGGCCAGCTTTAGGGAGGAGCAGCTTTTCCAAGAAAGACTGGTCAGCCAGGTTTCCAGGAGTATTCCATGCCTTCCCGGGGTGTTCAAAGAGTTCTCTCAGCCCCCAGCTTTCCCCCGCCTCTGAAGGCTGCAGACGGGAGGCCCTGCCCTTTCCCTGGGTGCTGCTGCCACTCCCCAGGCCTGCTAGGTTGGCATGGGCCTTGTACACTTGGGCCACGCAGCCTGAACCCACAGGCTCCTGATCCTCAAAAGAGAGGACGCACCCCCAGTCCTCCCCAAAAGCCTGCCGGAGGAAGCGCTCAGTGTGAGTCCAAGAGTGGGGGGTCACTCGGACGTGCAGCTTGGAGAATCGGGCGCAGAACTCCTCTGAGAAGAGATCCCGCCGGGTGCTGGCCCACTGGCCCAGTTTGATGTAAGTTGGCCCCGAGGTCTCCGTGGCTTTGAGAAGCAGGTGGAGCCAGAGGGCCGAGACACCGGGAGTCAGGTAGGTGAGGGGGTAGAGTAGAAGGAGCGGGAAGAACTTCACCAAGAGAACGCCAGCCCGCAGCCAGATGCGCAGGTGCAGGGACACCCAGCCCAGCCGCCCCGCCACGGACGCGCGCTCCACCGGCCCACTTCCCGCCAGGCCACTCCAGCGGGCCCTCCTCTGGCACAAGCTGTCAGGAGTCCCCTCACTTGTGTCTTCATAAGTGGAAATGAGCTTGGGTAAAGTGCCCAGGAGAAGCCAACAGAGCCTGGCATTACGTGAGCACCCGGAGAGTCTCAGAAGGCCCGTTCTGAGCTCAGAGCCCTTCAGGCACGACAAGCAGACCCTCAGGGAGAAGCGCCAAGGGGCCACCATGCTCCCAGACGCCCACGCCTGCCTGCCCTCTGCTAACGGGGCACCCGTCTGGGGTGGCACTTGGGCAAAGCCGAGAAGAAACCGAGACCCCAGCCGGGAACCTGCGCCAAGATCCTGAGAGGAGAACGGAGGAGAAGGGATTGTGGCGTGGCCATCCCCTTGGGGGGTGATTTCTCGCTTTCTGTCTCTCTGTCTCTCTCTCTGTCTGGCAAGCGCACGCGCCCTAT